AGCACTAAACTGCTCATCAATCTTACAAAGGGTGTCATTTAGTCAATTACCTTCCCTAAGGAAATATAAATGGAACAGAGCTGCAAGAGAAAAATTAATTCACCCAACTCCAGTAAGTAGCTCACAGACAACAGCTTTCACCACTCTAGGATATCTGAGCTATAGTTCATTCCTGGATTCACCAGGAAGAACTGGTTTTTCACTTTTTTCTTTTTTGAATTTTAGCTGATTAATGCAGTTAGGTTTGAAGGAGTTATATCTCAATATTAGGTAAGCATAATATCAACCACATTTCTTATTATGAGAGAATTAGAATGTAGTACCTTTCTCTTGCATCTGAACATGTGACTGTTGCCTCCATACCCTACCAAACTCCCCTAACACTCCATATAAAGATGCATGATGGCAGAAGCTGGAGAGGAAAATGCTCAGCATGGAAATGAAAAGTAGACCCAGGGAACAGCAGCAGCTGCCGGGGGATCCAAACTCAGATGCCTTCAGGAACCAATCAAGTAGTGCAAGTGAGTTAGGCAAACTGTAGAAGAACAAGAGTCAGGGGTTGATGAAAGGCAGCTACTTTCAAGGTGTGCCTACTACCCCACCCAGGAAATCACTGCATGCAAGAATGTAGAGCACGTGTGGCCACATTTCTGGATTATTCAAAGGCATCAGAAACCCAGATTTTTTACATAAAATCACCCCCCAGATTGGCAAGTAATTAAAATTATAAAAACAAATTTAAAAACTCTGTGTTAGTTGAGTACAACATGAAAGGCTGCTAATTTGTGATCTTCGGAACACAAAGTAAGGTTGGTGGGGTGTAAAAAAAACATTCTAAAAAAATTTCCTAAAACTAAATCTCTATTTCACAACCACTTTTAGTAACTGGATTTCTATGTTAATCCTCTATGTCTGACTACTTAATTAATGATCCCAACAGATAGATGAAAAGCTCAAATGCAAAAATAATAACAAAGAAATCAGAAGAAAATATAAACGAAAATGTATCAAATCTTTGGTTTGGAGATGACGCTATCATAATAATTAAAGAAATCACAGAATTTTTTTATCTATAGTTTTACAAAACTTAAAAACATTTAATATGAAAAATATCTTGTGACCAAAACTAAATGCAAAATAAAACCTGGAAAAATATTTGAAGTCAATATGGCAAAAGGCAAATTATCTTTACTCTTAAGAAAACCTTGCAAGTTGGTAAGAGACACAAGAAGAATGCACTCCAACTCCTTATGGACAAAGATGGTTGCTGTTGCCAGTTCCTAACCTCATACAAAGTAGTGTACCCTGTGGGACTAGAACTGAGACATCTGCAAAACCACACATGGGGTTATGAGGGGGAAACATGCACAATTAAATGAGCTCTCAAAAAAAACTTTAAAAGCACCAGAGGAAATCAAGTGCCACAAAAGACCCAACAAATAGTAGAATTCACACCCAAGGAATCAGATTTTCAAAACATGAATTTTCAAAATTAATTATATTAACATCATCAAAGAAATAAATGAAGGAATAGCATCTATAAAGCAAAGATCAGAACAGGAAAGGATGAAAAAGAATCAACTGGAGATCTTGGAAATGAAGCATAGTCATTAGTTTTTTTGTTTTTTTTGCGGTACGCGGGCCTCTCACGGTTGTGGCCTCTCCCGTTGCAGAGCACAGGCTCCGGACGCGCAGGCTCAGCGGCCATGGCTCACGGGCCCAGCCGCTCCGCGGCACGTGGGATCTTCCCGGACCGGGGAACGAACCCGTGTCCCCTGCATCGGCAGGCGGACTCTCAACCACTGCGCCACCAGGGAAGCCCCTGTTTTCTTTTTAATGTCCTAAATGATATAATTGAGACAGCTGAAAAGAAAATCAGTGATTTGGAATCCAGTGCTCTCCAAGAATGCACCATTAACAAATTAAGAGATAGGAAATATGTAAATCTAATAAATTCTCTCCTCAGAAAAATCCACATATGTACCTACATACAAAGTTTTATAAACAATTTCAGAAGGTTCCCAGAGTCCCTGAAGCCTAACTTCCACTCTAGAATTCTGAATACAAAATATCTTAAGATCTGAAATCTGTCTCACTCTTTAATGCAAACAACACAATACTGATTCAAAGTTCAGGAAACAGACATTAAATTTGAGTTAGTATCAAATTAAAGAGAAGCCATACCAACGGAAGCCAGTTAAATCTGAACAAGAGGGCAGAAGATCTAAATAGACATTTCTCCAAAGAAGGCATACAGATAGCTAAAAAGCACGTGGAAAGATGCTCAACATCACTAATTATTAGAGAAATGCAAATCAAAACTATAATGAGGTATCACCTCACACCGGTCAGAATGGCCATCGTCAAAAAATCTACAAACAGTAAATTCTGGAGAGGGTGTGAAGGAAGGGAGTGCTCATGCACTGTTGGTGGGAATGTAAACTGGTACAGCCACTTTGGAGAACAGTATGGAGGTTCCTCAAAAAACTAAAAATAGAGCTACCATATGATCCAGCAATCCCACTCCTAGACATATATCTGGAGAAAACCATAATTCGAAAGGATACATGCACCCCAATGTTCATTGCAGCACTATTTACAATAGCCAGGACATGGAAGCAACCTAAATGTCTATCAACAGAGGAATGGATAAAGAAGATGTGGTACATATATACAATGGAATATTACTCAGCCATAAAAAAGGACAAAATAATGTCACTTGCAGCTACATGGATAGACCTAGAGTTTGTCATACTTAGTGAGGTAAGTCAGACAGAGAAAGACAAATATCATATGATATCATTTATATGTGGAATCTAAAAAAAGGGTACAAATGAACTTATCTACAAACAGAAATAGAGTTACAGATATAGAAAACAAACTTATGGTTACCAGGGGGTAAGGGAGGGGAGGGATAAATTGGGAGATTGGGATTGACATATACACATTACTATATATAAAATAGATAACTAATAAGAACCTGCTTTATAGCACAGGGAACTCTACTCAGTACTCTGTAATGGCCTATATGGGAAAAGAATCTAAAAAAGAGTGGATATATGTAATGTATAACTGATTCACTTTGCTGTACAACTGAAACTAGCACAACATTGAAAATCAACTATACTCCAATAAAATTTTTTTTAAAAAAAGATAATACCAAAAAAAAAATCTGAACAAGAAATGAAACTCACAAAGATAGAGTCCTGCCCAGTATTCTCTGTTGCAAAACTCAGGTAAGATCAAGAAAATCAGTCATTATCCATAGCAAATACAAGACTCTAGTGTGTATTAAAATTGGCTAATTATTAAATAAAATTATCATTTTAGATGCAGATATTGCTTTAATGTTCATAAAGGCAGGAGAATATAGAGTATGTGTAACAGGCAAAAACCATTTTTTAAATAATGTTAAATGATTGATATGGGGATATAAGATGGGTGAAGTTTGAAAGAAACTAAATTGCTCTGAAGTAGAAAAGCACGAGAGAGAAAGAAGCCTGAGAGAAAAATCTAGAGAAATTGTCATAATAAGGGGAATTTTAGAAACCAAGCTGGTAAAGAGCAATAAAAGAAAACTCAGTGAATGGAACACAGTAATCTCGGATGACCTGAACAGAGCTGTGCAATGGCAATATAGGAGACCCATGCTGTGAGCTATATAATGCAGCCCCACAATACCTTCAGTAAAATCTACATTCTGTTCTTTTTTTAGAAAATGGGAGTGGGAAAGGCAGTGAAGCACTGAGTTCTCCTTCAAGGTTGGTTTAAAGTAATTACAGAGAAGATATGGAAAGCCAGCCAAAATCTATATTATGCAAGAAGCATTTAAATTTGCCTTTTACAATGAACCTAAACAGCAATGTTTGGTCTTCATCAAAACTTTGATGGAAGGCAGCTCTCTTACAGATTCTGAAAACACAAAAATCTTCCTTAAAGCACACTTGAAATGTTCCAGAACATAAAATTCAAATGACATATTATCTTCTGTTTAAGATAGCTGCTAAGATCTTTGGAAGGTAAAATAATGATTTCTCTGAAGATCTCTAGTGAGAATTTAAAAACAAAATTGTGTCTCTTGAACATTTTTAAAATACTTTAAACTTCAGTATAAAGATTCTTTCAGGATGTATATTTCCATAGGTTTTCTTCAAGCTGACGTGGAGAGAAATTACCTTGGTTGAAGACCTTGAAATATTTAGATATTGGTATTTATCTTCTCTGAGTATTTTCATGTTACTTCAAAAGTATACAAATCAGGTTGTCTTGAAGTTCACAATTTTGTAAGAAGACTGCCCAGTTTGAAATTGTATATTTTAATCACAACAGATCAGGCTCCTTTAAAAGACATTCACATTGCAAACAATGAGAAATACCCCTGTTCTGGTTTTTCAGATTCTTCATTTGGTGTACACACTTTGCACTCGGAAACATAATTGTGTATGAACCTGTCTCATCACATGCCATCTCCCTGATATGATGACAGAGCATTTATGTATGAATCTTTGTGTCCCCTTAAAACATGTTTTTCTTAGGGAAGAAATTAAAGGACAAGTTTTCAATCTTTGCAGGCCACCTATGCTTTCCCTTCCCAGAGTGAAACTTTCTGACCTGGCACATTCTCTTCCTAATTAGAAGCAGTGAACACAAAAATGCCTGGTATAGAATGCTGTGGTCACGTAGGCCTTCACTGGAGAAAATGCTTTCTTCATATTCACGAAATAAAATTAAACTGAAATGAATTATGAATCAACATTTGAAGACTTCATGATGATTGTGTTTAAAGCACAAAAGTATAAAAACCATAGGTACTAAAATCTTGATTAATAAACATGAATACTAAATATGTTCCACAAAATGTTTAATGTATTACTGTCAAAACGTAGTATTTAGGAAAATACGTCGTTGAGAAAAACATACAACATAAACGTTTGCCAAAACAAAATTATGCTAAAGAAATCAAAATCAAAGATAATGAGTAATTTTTAAATGGCACTCACCAATCACAATTGAAGACTCACAATGATAATAACCATTACTTTGCTTTTTCTTCAGCATGGAGCAAAGATCTATGCGATGTACCATTTCTTCTCCAAATCTGTGACTGATAAATTTTTCATAGAATTTGGGGTCTATTTTTTTCACTCCCTTGAAATAACAAAACAAAATCACATCAATCAATCATTTCACCTAAGCAACCAGTTCACATCTATACCACTTTCTTAGAACCTGATATTACATTTTGACTGCCTACTGGCATCTTAAAATGGATACCACAAAATTGTTGTAAAGTTGTTTTTAAAGTCCCTCTGCCTAGAATGAGTTGTATTTTTTTAAAAAAAATCATTAAAGAGCGTTGAGTTTGAACGTGGAAGCATTCAAATCTTCATATACTTTAAGCTTCAGAAATAATAAAGTATATCAAGTTGAAATTTGATATACCATGGGAAGAGTAATCATCTCCAACAACAATGCAGCAATGGGTGAATTTTTTAAAGTGATATGGATCTTAACACTTTACAGTGTGTAAAATGTTTTAATAAATGGATGCAATTTTTAAACTTATGTAAAAAATCATCTGAAAGACAAAGGTTATTTGAATTAGAGTAGAGCGGTCAATGGATCTTCCAAGTTCTTCTCTACCTGCCCCTCCTGATTCTCAGTGTACTTTCACAGCAGGAATAGGGCTGGTTGTTGAAAAATTACAGTGGGATGGATGCCCTTGGTAACTTGGTAGTTCCCCCAAATATGGGAAAGAATGTCTTCCCCTCCCCTTTATACATGGTCTTATACCCATCTCACAGTCCAAAAACACAGTCCATAAGATGAAGATACAGTACTTTACAGGGCAAGTTTACCGGCTGACCGTGCACAAACTTTTTCTTTAAATTTATATATATTTTTACATTGCCCTGGAAATACCTGTTATTTGTTAAAACTTAGAAAATATAAAGAATCTAGAAAAAAAGAAAAGAAAAATCACTCATGACCCTGTTATTTATATAAAATACATTAACCCTGTGATGCATATCCTTCAAGTATCCTTTTTATGCATATGTATTATTATCAAATTATATTTATAAAAATCTTACTCAAATGCAATTAGAATATACTCTCCCTTTTTACTCACAAGTTACAAAAAATTTTTAAACAGAGATATAAAAACAAAACTATTAAATCACCCCAAATTACTACTACTAAAATTTTACTACGTATTTTATTTTTCCTACGCACAGCATGAGTTATACCATGAGTACTAACTGACACCAGTGCTTTTTTTCCAGTTAATATGTCCTATCAATAAATAATATATTGATGTGCAAAATATTTTTACATCTCCATAGTACTCCATTGTATGGAGATATAATTTATTCATTCAGTTCTTTATTGTTGAACATTTAGGTTGGTCTTAACTTTTAATATTATATTTAACATGTTTTGTTGATACATGTTTTTGTTCTGTGTCCGAACTGAGCTCCCCATCTTTCCTAACCCCTTCGCTCACAGACTTTCTTTCCCACCTCAGTTCGAGTTGATCAGACTGGAAGCCTTGGGGTCATCCTTGATTCTCCTCTTTCCCTCAACGCCACCTCCAATCAAATCCTGTTGGCTCTACCTTCAAAACACACCCAACTCTCACCACTCTCCTGCTACCTTTGTCTGAGCCACCTCTGCTTTTGTCTTTCACCTGGATTATCCCAACAGCCTCCTGTTTTCCCACTGTTGCCTCTTCTAAAGCCAGAGTGATTTTATAAAAACATACATCCAGATCAGGTCATCCTCTAGTCAAAATTCTCCAAAAGGTCTCCATTTCTCTCAAAGGAGGAGTCAAATTACCAGACCGGCCTGCAGGCTCCTGTTCTGCTCTCCCCCTACTTCCTGGGCCTCATGCCCACCACTCTCCCCTTTGACCCCCTCCAGCCTCCCCGACCTCCTTGCTCTTCCGTGAACATGCCAGGCATATCCACCTCACAGCCCCTGTGCTGCCTGTTCCCTCTTCCTGGAATGCTCTTCCCCCAGATATCCTCCTCATTGCCCATCCCCATCTCCTTTAATTCCTTGCTCAAATATTACTTTCTTAATAGGGCCTCACTTAACCATGCCATTTAATTTGTACTCCCCCCACCCAGGAGGTACTCCCAAATCCTCTCTATCCTTCTCCCTTTGTACGCACTTATGTGTGTATAATAGCACTTTAATAGCACTTTAATAGCACTTACCATCTTCTAACATACTCTGTAATTTATGTTTATTTTCATTGTCTGTCATTAGCTGTCTCTCTCCATTAGAATGTGAGCTCCACACAAGGATTTTCATCTGACTGTTATTCTCTGAAATATCCCCAGTGCCTAGAACAGTGCTTGACACGGAGCAGTGCTTGATAAATAATTGTCACAATGCCAAGGAGGATAAAGTTTCAAGAAGAGGATAGTTGACAATATCAAATGCTGTTCATTCAGAGTTCAACAAGAATGAAACTGAATGGATTTCTTTTGATTTGGTGAGTTGAATGCCTTGAGAGACAGCAGAGCCTAATACTGAGGGCCAGTCAGTGCATGAGTTCAAGTCCTGGCTCAGCCGCTTTTCAGCCATGTGACCTCAGTTTCCCCATCTGTAAAATGAGATTAACAATACTACCTACCTGTAAGTGTTACATGCACTAAACAAGTAAATTTATAGAAGCGCTTAAAACGGTGAAATATGGTAAATGCTGTAATATATTGATATATATAATTACCATTAGTGAAAATAATAGGTAAGATTTCAGGGGGAAAAGTTTCCGAGTAAATGGAAACTGACCATTCTTATTTCTCTTTCAAATGCTTTTTCATTCGTGTGTGTTTATTGAGTGGGGGTGGGGTGGAGTAAGGGTGTCATTCCCTTTGACCAGACAGAAGATCAGTGATAAGTCAGCAGAAAAATCAGGATCTTCAGTTTTCAAGATACCATTGCCAGCACTGTCTAGCCACGATAATCTCCATTTCAGTTCTGTAAGATGTCATTGTTTAAAAAATAAGAAATAACGGAAACATAAGAGCTACTCTAATCTGTTAGGCTAATTAATTTAATTTTAGCAAAAAGTAAGCACCAACTATTTTGCAAGAATTCTCCATAGATGACTTCCGACATGAATCTTAAGGAGTTATTTTTTACCAAAGAGTGAAATGGAATTAATTCTTTAACTCATAATTTATAGAGAGAGCTGTGGTTCAAAGAGGCATGAGGGCTTAGAAGGCACTGAAGTTATATGCCCTGATCAGAAAACATCTTCAATAATAAAGATCTAGAAGATCTTGAAGATTCTATGAGAATCTGCTTTGTCTGATATATAATATTAGCATGATCTTTGTTCTCTGGGGAATTTTTTGTTTGACAGTGTATTTTGCAGGATTTTTTTAGGCTCTTGTGTCCCGTGGCAATATATCTCTTTTCTAGTAAAATCTATGTGAATTAGTCTCACCATCCAGCTGCAGCAGGTGGTGTTCTTCCTTCATAATAAAGAAATGAGTATCATTCAAAGAAAATAAACAAGTACATCAAAATTGCATGTCTTTAGAGTAAGACTAGGCAGCCTCCTATTTTCTGAATGGATCCACTGGGTTGCCAAACTATTCCCAGAGACATCACCCTGGCAAGGTTATATTTTAAAGCTTACAAGGCTGGTTTTCAAGTTTTGGACCACAAATTTCTCTTTGCTTCCCTTTTTCACAGCCCAGACCCTTTCCAAGGTACCTTGTCATTTAAAGAAAGATGGAGGTATAATATATTAGGAAAGCTCAAAGAAAAACCACAGAAAAATGGTTAAAGCCAGGAAAATTTGACCTGTAAAGGCTGAGAGAGTTGGGATTATTTCCAACAATATGTAGGATATCTTCAACAAAACCACGCTAAGGGTGTTGCATTTCTGGAATTCTGAATATGCCTTGTGATTGTCTAGTACTATGTTTGAAAATTACGTTTGCCTTGGACCTAACAGAAACAGGGTATATTTTTTAAGGCTTCATATTGATAATTGTACCCAATATAACTGACATATCAATTATGCATCATAACATTGAAGGAGAAAATAGGAAGTTAAAGACAGAACAGCACACTTTGAAACAATAAATTAGTGGCAAGAAACATCAAACAGAAAAACTTTTCAAGACTATCCTAATTAATCCTCAGAAATGACTGAAGTTTTACTTCCCTTTGGCCTAGTTTCAAGTATTGTTTAGGGAGAATTATCAGTGCTGTTCAAAGCCACTTGGTAACTTCTGATACAATGGATCATGAAACCCTGAGGAACTTCATTCTTGATTGTAACTTGGCACGCACAGAGCCAATACAGGAAAAATGCCATTGAGAGTGTGATGTGTAGTTTTAGAATCGTCTCATGGCTGCATCTGGTAATGGAAATTATTTACTCGGGAAGCACTCACCATATCATTTATATTTAGTTAAATGATGTGTATAATTTAATAGGCACCAACGAGGGCTCAATCTTATACTACTATGCATCCAACTCTATTTTCAATATAGGAAGGAAACAGAGCCACAAAATATGAAAAATCACATTAATGTGTGACAATCATTCAGTTAAGGTTCTGAAAGATGAAATACTTATTATTCATCTTTAGTTTCTACAACAAAGTTATTGAGATCAGAAAAACAAGGGAATGAGAGTTTTGTTAAGAAGGTTAACTTTTTTTGTAATAGAAGATAATTTCATATTGTTACTTATCTTTTTTTTTTTTTTTTTTGCGGTACGCGGGCCTCTCACTGTTGTGGCCTCTCCCATTGCGGAGCACAGGCTCCGGACGCGCAGGCTCAGCGGCCATGGCTCACGGGCCCAGCCGCTCCCCGGCATGTGGGATCTTCCTGGACCGGGGCACGAACCCGTGTCCCCTGCATTGGCAGGCGGACTCTCAACCACTGCGCCACCAGGGAAGCCCACTTGTTATCTTATTATAATAATCGCAACTTCCATGATGAAAAAATAAACAGCCTGCATATCAATCGAAAAAATTGTGTCCTTCTGAGGTTAAGCTTGATATTCCTGGAGCTCTGTTGTTTTCCAATAGTTTATTCCTGTCACCCAACAGCTATGAAAGAAAAGTATGTTTCCTGTGATAATGGCATGAAACCAAAATTCAGGATGCAAACTA